ATTCCCCTTTCACTACTAGTCTTTTAATTTTTTTGGATTTATATCTTTCTTTCTTTCCTCACTTAGATTTTAAATCTGGCATGGCAGCACCACACAGTCTAGCCCTATTACTTTTATTTTAATGCTCAATATTGTACCAGTAAAAGTATTTTTAAACTTATAATACATGGAAAGGGAAAGTTCTTTTCCAGTTAAAAAAAAAATGAGAAACTCTTGCTATCTACTCTAGAACTTTAGAACTTTCATATCATGAAAGATATGGGTAGCACTGCATACTCACTAGAGACTGTGGAAGAAACTCTTTTCCCCCTTTATTGAATTGTTGCTATATTTGAGTGGCAGTGTTATGTTCTTCAGAGAGAAGGTTTGACACTGCAGCTTTGGGATTTCTCAGGTAATAGCTTTTGAATTTTGGAAACACAGCTCCTGCCCCTACACTCTGTTTCTTAACCAATATCTTTTTAATTAGGTGGAATATTCCATTTTATGAAAAGGAAGCAATGAAGCTATTCTGTTTATCTATAACAAATTTGTCTTATGGACGATGCTTTCCTCCTTGTTTCCAATTGTGTGAAATCTCTTTAGATACTCTACCTTTGTTCCATGTTAAAATAAATTAAATGTAAAACTGATTTTTTACTCTTTCTACTTTAGGCAGCAACTATAGACTTAAAAGTGAGGGAAACTCATTCTAAAACATGAAACAAGAAACAAGTGGAATCTTGGTTTGCACCTACAACTGCATGTTTTGAATCTCAGAAAATAAAGTAAAAACTGTAAGTTTCATCTTAACTGTAAAGAATTGATTATTTGCAAGGGCTGATAATATAATATTTGCAAAACATTTGCTATGCTTGGATTTTCTCCTGGTGAGGCTGAAGTAAGTAGCGAATATTAACTTGGACAGCTCTCCAAATCTTGGTTGCATCTGCAATTCTGTTTTATTGAGGTGATGATCTGGTACAATTAAATTGCTTTCAAAGTTTTGTATGTACTCTAGCTATAAAGCAGTAAACTGCTTATATGAAGTAGTAACTTATCTGTTACTATTTTATATATGAGTACTCATTGCAAACCAGAACATTTTCGAAGCGCTTTCTAGGGATTATGGCATTTTTTGTCTACAAATTCTGAGATTGATTAGAAGAGAATGGTCTAAATTTTATTCTTATGTACTAATTGACCAAAGGGCATATTCTTTTCCTAGCACCAAACTTGCAGTTTTCTTTCTAGATTGACTGATATCTAAGTTCTTAGAGATCATTTCTCTTATCCCTTTTTCTGGACTGTCTTGGGCATCCAACTTAAATGTTGGATTTGTGTATTAGAATGAACTTTCATAACTGTAATACTATTTTTTAATGGCAGGCAAATTTTTATATCTTGGTATCACTAAGAACCTAGAACTTGCACTTCATTTTATAAAATAGAAGTAATTTTATCTTTAAAAAATGGGCATTTTTAGCCAACTTTAGATTTCAGTTTTCTGCTCAAATCCCCCTATATATTGACAAGAGCATGAAATACATCAAGCGTTCAGATGGAACTATGACACTGGCATCAGCATGGGGCAACAAAAGGTAAATTGTCATCACTGTGGATGCCAGTATACAAGTAAAAGAGGATATCTAAAGAGCGAGGCTGGATGCTTTGGACAGAGGTCTGGGAGTTAGATTCATTACTGTCTGGAATTGCAGGAGAAAATGTTTCCATGAAAGTTGTCACTACAGAACTTAAGAGAAAATTTGCTGATTTCTGTGGACAATATACTTAATTCCACAAGAGGATAACAGGTTAGATTATTAAATGTTTAAACTAGGTAGTACTCAGAATTATGACTTTTGGGTTTTTTGTTTGTTTGTTTCAGAAAATTGTTAATTATTACCTTAGCTCTATAGTTTCTCAACAAAAGTGTCTGCTGTCACAAGCGTCTATATTACTAGTCTTCAAGTAAGCCATGAGGCTTACTATATAGTTTATTCCATGAAAGGCAATAATACAGTACTCAAATGTTATTTTGAATAAAAAAACACTTTCAGTGTTATGTTTGTTTTCCTGGATAGCTCAGTGATAAATGCATTTGTCTGCTCATTTGTTGCTTTGGAATCTTGTATAGAAGTATCAGAGGATGGATGGAGCCTTGGGAATTTAGCTGTTCCTCTAGAAGTAATGGTAACTTCTGTGATAGTATTCTTGCTGTCAGTATCAGCAGTTGTGATCATGCTGTTTTGCTATTGAAATTCATGTTCATGACTCCTCTTTCCTCTCCAAGTATACAGTAGTGCCTTTTTCAGAAACCATGATGTATCAGTTTTCACTCAATAGAATCTTGTGAAAGATGCTCCATCTGTGTTTTGAGGAGCTACTTCATTTTGCCAGGAAGTTGTCTCAATGACATTGTAGCAAGAAAACACTGAGTGGCAGAGGAGTGGTTTTAGTGTTTAAGACAGGAACGATGTTAACCAAGAGAAGCATGGAAGCAGCCATGTGAAGATACAAATCCACTTCTGGAGAAGGGGAAAGATCATCCATAGTAAGTCTTGTAATTATTTGAATGGTGTTATTGAAATAATTCTCTTTGTCCCAGTGATAAAGTTTCTGTACTGCAATCCAGTATATATCTAATTTTCACTGTTATTGGAATGAATTTTTTCAGTATTCATGCTAAGTCCTAGATTATCTGAACAATTGGAAGCATAGCAGAAGAGTGTTGATATAAATTGAAGTAGGTCAAAATCCAAGGACACCAAAGGGACAAATAAAATTGACAAGAATAAGAGAAACATTTAGTTTTGAGAAGACCTTGAAAGTCATCAAGGTCATTAACCTAGCATTTCCAAGTCTGCCATTAAAAGTGGAGTGTAAAGGGAGAGAGGGATAATGGTCTTAATTTCTTCTGATATGTCAGTGTCAGTGTATAATAGGATAATGGTAGTGTAAGTACGGTTAACATACCAGGAATAGCATAAAACCACAAAAACTGCTATGTCAGTGGAGGAGAACTCAAACCAGAGATCTAGTCAAATGCTGTCCTGATCTGTTCTGGGATTTTTTTTCCACATCTCTAAATTCAGTTCTACCATTATGACCATGTAGCTATACAAGGTAATAATAATTATCTGGTGAGCCATTAGGTAGCCATATGTATCCAACTTATTTATAGCCTGCAAGTTTGTATTTTTTTTAAATCAACTTGAGATACCTTAGCTTTCTGTATGTATATAGCCTGTGTAAGTATATAATCTTAATTTCTTTCCTTTGTTCACCTTCTAGTGAACATGTGCAGGTTGCAGGTTGTCATAATTGGATTGTGCACCTTTTGGAGAGGCTTTGTGGTATGTAACACCTGGCCTCTGTGTCACATGTATACTTAAATAAATATTATTTAAATACTGTTTAATTTAATAGAAACTTTATAAAAATTCTTTACTTTATTTGACTTATTTTTTCTGTAATCCATTAATTTAATAAATCTCTATATTAGTCAGTTTCTGTTGCTATCATTTTTCTACAGTTTTAACATTCAATCTCAGTGAGTACTCAGGGTGAACAGTCCCATGTGTAAAATACCAAAGATCAAGGCTCAGCTTACTGTTGTCACGCAGATGTTGTGCTGGGCAGACAAGCCCAAAATACATAATTATGGCAAAAAGCCTGGAAGCACAGCTATGGATAAGGCATATTTGTAAGTTCTTTATACAGCACTGCATTAATCTAGCCACTTTGTTCCTGATTCTTCAGCTGCTTGGTTTAGAGGTAACTTTATACCATGCTGCATATATGTACTGTCTGTTTAACTCTGATCCAACCATTTAGTTGTTTTGTGCCTCAGTGTTCCCTTTTGAAAGTGAGAGTAGGACTTCCTTATTTTAAATTATTGCTTCTGAAGTGTTACAGTTGGAAGGAGAAGGGTCATTTATGCATGGAGAGAATACATACTTTTAATGTAATTATGATATGATACCGGTGTTAAATTCACATACAAAAAATCTGACAGAAGAGTGAGACTTTAGACATTGCGGAATCTTTGAACTACCTATGCTGTGCTATAGTAGGTAAGTTCATGGAAGGAAAAAATGTTAATTATTCATAATGCTTTGCTGTACCATAAAACTCGATTTATTGAGACTATAATTTGTTCAAGTTGCATGTAGTAGAAAAATATATCAGGAGTAATTAGTAGTATTCAGGATGTGATGAGGTAGATATATCCACAGAGGACAATTGAAAACAGTAGTGGTGTGGTATTGATTGCCTTTCAGAGGAAAAAAAATCTTGTCTCTTTTCTAAATGTTAACAATTCAGAGAGAAAAATTCCCACTTGGGAAGAATGCTTTCCAGGTTGCTTCATTGCCAGGTGTTCGACATTGAGTGGAGCCTTAGATGAATGAAGCTTATGGCAGCTTTTGGAAATGACCGACTCCGGGGAATCTTGGCTTCCTGCTGTGAAAGTTTCCATTTTCAAAGCACATCAGTTTCAGTGGGAATGTTCCACTGGTCCCATATGCTACTTCTGACAGAGGGGGAAGTTTTTAACCTGAATATGAGACAGCTACTGAAGAAGTTCCCTTGCTGCTAACAAAATGAATTTCAATACGTTGCCAGTGAACAAGCGGCATGTTCCCAAATGCTGATGGAATTTAACCCCATCAATTTTTAATGGAAATTTTGCTTTTAATTTCCTTTTTTCCCTGTTATCTTTTAGCTCCACTATTTGCTCCTGGTAGAACTTTTGGGTTCTGAAGTTGAATCACCCAAACAATATGCTAGTTTGATTTGAAATTCTTGCTATATTTTCCTCCCCTCCCTCATACGCTCTCTCCTTGACCTAGCAGCAGGAAGCCTTTGTCTGAGGTGTTCATCTGGAACAACTTTTCCACACTTGTTTTCATGTTCTGTTAGATTACAGGGCAGCAGGCCTACCTTTGAAGCTCCCTTCTCTTTTGTTTCTTTGCAGTGCACTCCAGTAATTAACTTTGTCCTTCTTTTATTTGTTCCAGTCAATCGCAGTCCACTCTGCTGAGCATCTTCTCCCAGGAGTACCAGGTTAGAAGTTTTCTCCTTTGTGAGGGTTGACAGGTGCCTAATTGAATGATGAATGTCCCTTTATTTCTTTGTAATTGAACTGCCAGCTTTCTGATTGGTTTGGAGGATGTTCCTTTTTCCACATCAAGCACCGCCTGAGTCTCAGTGGATGGCTGCCAAACCTACCCATCCATCTGTCTAATAACATCTAGCCTTTGCTTATTTGGTGGACCTGTAATAAATTATGCTAAACCATTATTATTCTGACAATAATAATTTCCCTGTGTTGCGTGGTTCCATGTGCTAAATGTTTGCTGACTTGCACTGTCAGTGCTGCTTTCCATTGCTGACAGAGATGATGATAAATGACCATTGCCGGAGTGGCAGAAGGCAAGAGAGGCAGAAAATGGAGTCATTTATCATGAGATGACAGGTGTCAGTCAAGTGGCAAGTCTCTATGGAATTACTTTTTGTAGTTTTTCAAATAAGTTGTTTTTAAGCAATGTTCTTCCTGGTTAAAAATGCCAATTGAATTGTAAAACTAGAGTGTACCAGACTTAGATGGAATTGAATTGAGGGAAAATTAATACAAAGGTTGAAAGAGAGAACAAGTTTTTCTTTGCCCTCAGCAGCCTTCAGTAAACTTATTTAGATTCAATTATTGTGACCTTACTGCCTTTTACATATGGTACATTGCAGTACAGTCTGAAGACGTTCAATTCAATAGGTAGATTGAATGTCATTTCTGTATGGAATCTAAAAGCATGATTCACATCTATCAAAGTGTAGCCAAGGATTGCATGTTTGTGTAGTCATGATTTCTGTGTTTTGATCTGACACCTTTTTAAAAGTCCTGGTTTTTTCATTTTTCTAGAAACAAATCAAAAGAACACATGCCAAGCATCACACTGCTGAAGCTATCGAAACTTACTACCAAAGGTATGACCTCCCCACCCCAGTTAAGACTCTTATCATAGCTACTGGGTTTTACAGCAGTAATTAAAAAAAAGTGAGTAAATTAGCTTATGAAGCTAATTGTATATAACAATAAATTAAGAATTTGGGAATACAGAATGGTTCACATAAAAATGTTTTTCACTGGAAATAAGAAATTTTTCATTATTTGGTCATTCTCATTAAGAAAGAGTTTACTTCCCTGGCTCTAAGTCAGGATAAGCAAATATTTTTTCCAGTGTATGTGATCGCGTTTATTATGTATTGCCTATAGTTCGTAATTTTTAGGATTTCTGTGTCAACACTGATTTTGATGACTTCTTTACAGCAAGAGAGCTTGTTCTGTTACAGTGCTTGTTTAAAACAACATTTGTGTTACATTACAAAAAGTTACATATTCATGTATTGCCAGTTAAAACACTAATTTTTAGATCACTTCTGTTTTATCAACAGAAGTGTCAGAAATAGTTTTTAAGGGAGGATGAAAAACCTTTATGTCATTTTGCAATTGTTTGCATCTTGAGCTAATAAACTGTGCTTGCTACACCTTGTAGTTTTTCTCTTAGTTCCATAGGCTTTACTAAAAATATTCCAGTGACATAATTGGGGCATAGTGATAACAGGTAAAGATATGCAATTAAAATATTACTTTGTAGACTGACATATCTGAAGAGCATGCATGGCAAATGAATTCATACTTGTGATGTGTGATATTCGTGCTTAATACTAATCTGTATGAATCAAGAAAATAAACAAAGAGCCTTCATTTGTAAACAATTAAATGTGCTTCTGCCAAAGTCATGTGTTTAAAACTTAACCTCAGCCTGATTATATCAGACACTGGTTTAGAATATCTAGTGTAAAGTGTACTAGTTTGGGTGTTTGATTTCGGTTTTTAGCAGTTGTATTGTTTTGTAAAATTTGTACTGGATCACATCACACTTTTCCTAGGGTTGATATTTGTTTAGGAAGAATATTGGCTTAAAAATCTTGTTATGCTAATAACATGCATATACAGTACTACTTTTAATTATTTTTCACCAGCACAGTTTTAGTGTAGTGGTTTGTGGTAATTGTAACTGCTGCATAAGTAACCCTTTTCTTAGAGTATCTGTAAATCACTAGTTCCAGCCTGAAACTTCAACCTACCACATGGGACAAGATTTCGCTTTATGCAAAGCAGCAGTTGTAGTGGCGTCAGTAGGGTTATAGGTATGATTAAGTTTGTCTCACATCAGGTAGGAGGATTTGGTCTCCTGTCTTCTTCTGTAGTCTGAAGTATGATAGCAGTACATAACTAATGCATTATGTATGAAGCTGTATGGTAGTGGTAGGGAAAATCATTCTTTATGCTATTTCTGAGTATGTCATTTTGCAAGTGTATTAACATGGCTGAGTAAAATGCACATGTTTTAAAATCAGAGCTGTTCTGGTCAATAGCTAAAAAACTCATTTCAGTTCTGTTTTAATAGATTTACTGTGTAGTATGTTTAGGAGGCTACAGAAACAGACAACTTGAGATAGAAGCCACTTTAAAACACTTCAGGCATAAATATGACAAACATGTCTTCTCCTCTGCTCTTCTGTAGCATCCACTTTACTACTGTAAACCCCAGACTGAATGCTCCTAAGTATTTCTGCCGACATACAAGCAGATAATTGTGCTGTCATTGCTTTCTTAGGTCAGAATCTACCAGGTTTTGAAGGTAGGCATTTCCAGTGGTCCCTGTTAGGAGCAAGTAAAATAGCTGAGTAGAGTAGTTTCTTCTACTTGGCTGAGACTTACTAGTCTGACACTTAGGCAAGCACAAAGTACAAGAAGGATCAGCAAGTTTTCAGAACTTTATTGCCTTCAGCATGTGAGACCTGTTAGTCTATAATGGAGTTGCCAGAAGCATTAGAAATATATGACAGAAATTTACTTCATTCTCACTATTGCTGTTTGATCATCTACATGCATGTTTGAGAACTTCATTCTCAAGTACATTTTCCTGGCTTTGTATTTTGTGTATGATATCTCATTTTCTTCTGTTATAAATTTACAATGTTTAAACACGTTTTGTGTGTGTGTGTTTTTTTTTAATGTGGAACTGAAATAGTTTACAGCAAAAAGCTTTTTTCATTTTCTTAATTCATTAAGCTTCAGAATAACTTGCAAGCAAAAAGCCCTCTATCTAATCTTATTTGAAGGGGTTTTATAAAAGGTGTACCACCCATTTCACAGAAAGGTAAAATGACAAAGAATTTTAATGTCTGTAACTAATGAGCAGAAGAGTGTCTTCTGATGGATAGATAATGATAGAGCTGAAAAGGCTGTGGCCTTCTAATGATGTCAGTAATGATGTGCTATGCGAATACAGATAGGATAAACGAGCAGGTTCAAGTGTTGGTAACTATTGTTCTTTTCCACATGGCTGCAAAGCAGAAAGTGGCTTCCAATATCATAGCTCCTTCCCATCAGCTTCAGAACACAGGTTTCAAGTTCTATCAAAATGTAAATACCAAGTAGTGAAAGTAACAGAAGTGAGCAAAGCAATATTGTGCGAATTGATGGTCAGAAACATCATTCTGTAATACCCTCAACTAGAAACATTAAGCCTTTGCCACTGATAGGGTAATGGCTTTCTATCAACATTTATTGAATCCTAAATATTTCTTGTTTTCTTTGTAGAATATTAATTGTTAGACTGATTTCACTAAAGTAAGCCTTTAGTATTTAAATTACTGCCCAGTTGATAAAATCTGGAATAAATTTGAGAATTTATGGTTTTTTGTGTACCAGTGAATTGGTTTAAATACACAGTCCATCTTCATAGTTGAAGGTCATGTGGAACCAAAAATATTTATTGTGAATAATAGAGGTTTATTTGTCTGTGATGGATCTTTAAGTAGTACAGATATAATTTATTTGTGTGTCTTAAGCCACATTTTTTTTTAATTTCTTGATATATTGGATTTTTTACCAGTGTCCTCATTGAAATGGATATATTTTGCAGATGACTAGAATAGGAGACAACCCTGGAGAGTTAGTGGTTGCTTAAAATACTTACTTCTTAAAAGATTGCCCATTAAATACTCTGTAATGGGGTATTTTCCCCCAAATGAAAAAGATTCACAAGGGATACTGACATGTATAAACTGGTCTTTTCCTGCCATTGCAAAATTACCTGGCTTTGTCTTGTCTAGGTACCTGAATGGGGTGATGAAAAATGCAGCTGCCCCAGTATTACTGGACCTGGCCAATGAGGTAATCATCTTTCTTTTTTTTTTAATCTTCCAGTGTAAAACCTAAGGGGCATATCTATAGTGACTTTAGTGAGAAATGTAATTAACCTAAAAAAAATGGTTTCAAGGCACATTAGACATTTAAAATGGTTCCCCAGTCTGTTAGTACTTAAAATAATTAGACAAAAAGCCACATTTATTAATAAATCAGTTCATGTAATTAGTCTTTTAACTTCAAGGCAAATGTGTAGGATACCCTGAATTTGTATTTTGCTGAAAATTTCCAACAGACTGCAGGTCTTTATTGCATAAACTTTCTAAAAATTCTTACATTGATTAAATGGAGTTGTATCAGTTTGAGTCCTTGCCTTTAATAACAAAACCCATCTAAGTTATTACTATTTCTTAGTAATAGGAAGGTTTAAAACAGATAATTATCCTGGCTCCGTTTATTTCTGTTCATACGGATTAGAGAATGGCTAATGAAAACTGCTTAAGGTAAAGCACTTAAGGAGAATAAATTCCTCAGTGTTTGGAAAGTTCTGTAAGGATGCCATTAAAGTCTTGAAAAATTTATTGATGTTGTTTATTAACTAGAATATGAATTTGCCTTGTTATACAAGGTGTTATTTGTATTAAAAACTTCTATCTTAGCATTACATTAAAGAAGAGGTTAAAAGTTAGAGCAAGTGGCAAGTAGTTTCCTAGAAAAAAATAAATTGATGAAATACCTGTTTTTTAAACTCTAAAATATTTATTTACTGTAATAGTAACAGTACAATAGCTGATACTCCCTGGAACTGCTTATGCAATCCTCAAAGGGATAGAATGAAATATATGCTGTTTTGTGTTGCCTTTTAATAGAAAATGTAAGAAGGAAGCAGAAAATGAGTGTTTGCATTAAAAATGATATGGCACTGTGAACATTAAGTGTAGCAATAGCAGTAAGTTCTACATGTTACATTAGTAAAAAAGAATGTTTTTTCTCTCATGTACATTGCTGCAGCCAGCAAATGAGTGATTACCTATCAATTACTGGAAGGTTCTAATGGTCTGTGAAGTGGCTGTGTAACCTGATCATACAGTTAGCATAAAATCAAGAATTTATTTCATATTAGTGGTAATGTGTAGCTTCTTACCATCTCTGGAAAAGACAAATCTTGAAGTACTGAGACTAGAATGTACTTTACATAAATAAGTACAGTCTTACTAAGAATTTAGGTAAACATCCCAATGGATGATATATTGCACCTATATTATATGGGAACTGTCATAAAAATATTTCAAGCACAGAGTAATATATCTGTTACTGCTTCTTTGTATATTTTTTGCATTGATTTAGAGATGATGCATATAATTTCTGACTCCAGTGAGCATATCTTTGTTTATATTTCACTAATGCATTTTTGCAATTCAGATCAAAGATATCTGCAGTTCAGAAATAAATAAAAATTAAGTCTAAGGGAAAGGGGAGATACATAAAAAACTTATTTGTTTCTGGTTTTGTAGTAGCAGGTATATCGGAAAGGCAATGCATTTTGTGACTGCCACCCAATGCATTAGGGAAACGTGGCAATAACCAGTGCCAGATTACTGCTTCCAAACAATCAAGCTGCCATTTTTATGTGATAGTTAATATTTAAATGACATACTCTTGCATCTGCTGACAATTGATGTAATGGTAATACTTTATGAGTCAATATATATTTAATCAGTGGAAACTGTAAAAATTGATGAGAAATATATAACATAGCTGTATTACAGTATGTAGCAGCTCTGTTAAATAGGAAAAGCTCCATATTGTTATCTTTTGGGGATGTTTTTTGAGGGTTTATAAAAGTACTTCTAATTCTTTTTTTTAAATGAAATTGTCAGCTGTTCATATTGTATATGTAGTACAAAAAGGCTAAAATAAATCACATTTTTGTTAGAAACAATAAAATTAGTCACTGTTCTCTTCATACAAATATTTTCAAGTGAGATTTGAAGCACTATGAATTTTACTTACATGCTAAATTCTGACATGAAGCATGATGGCCCTATTTCAAAGAAAGATGGACACATGATTAATATGAAAATTAGGGCAATGCAAGTACCTGAACTAATAAGGTAGTCCTTATTCAGGCTGGACTACCTTCAGTAATTTCACCATTTTTCATGTGTCAGCTCTGATGTGGGTTACTCTAAATAAGCAGCTCCTTGGAAAGCATTTCTCTCTACTTGGGGAATTTAAGGCCATCCAAGTACATACATATTTGGAAAAATATGTATGCACAAATGGAGTTACCTTTTTTGTATAGTTACTAAATCAGGATAAAATTTTTGCACTAACAGTGAACTTGAAAAGACGTCAAGAAAAATTCATTTTGTCAATTTGTGATCAAAATTAAAATTCTGATTCAGTAAAGCTGTGTTTTAATGGTATCTAAAAAGCTATTGTAATTTTAGGAGCAACTAGGTTGTACATTATTTGTACATATAAAAAAGTTGAAATGAAGGAATAGCTTTGTTAAAAATCAAAATATAAACTCTGAAGTAATTTTGACCAAGCCAAACACATCTGCTAGAGATACTGACACTAAGGATATATGGTATCACTTGATGGATACCACATGAATGAAGATTCATACATAAAAAAGGATCACCACTTCTTTTCCTTGATGGATAACCTTATAAAAGGGATTTCAGATTTCATGGCCATCTTTTACAAAGGGTGGTTCAGATGCAAAATGTACATACATTATAACCAGGATTTTATGTTGTCTACTTTATTTGGGTGTCCACTAGTACTGTGGATTACTACCACACATTTGGTGCAAATAGTTGAGTTCAGTAATTGGAAAAAGATCGTCTTTCCTTTGTTTTGCTTGTTAATTTTAATCTACAAATACAGCACAGTTCTGACAAATGTACATCTAAATGCATTTAGCGCCCAAAATTCTGTTTTTGTTTTTGTTGGGCTAAGGTGGATTTTGCCCCATCATTGATGGCTCGTATTGTGTTGGAAAGATTTCTGCAAGAAAAAGATCAAGCCATCCGTAAGTATCTTAGCTGATTTTTTCTGGGTTTTTTTGTATTATATTATTTTTAAAATACTTTTTGTTTCCACTTTTCTTCTGACTATGATAGAAAAATAATCACCACAACACTGGAAGTGAGATAACAAGGGTAACATTTTAAGTTTGGTATCTTCAACAGTCAATGACACTTAAATTGTGTGTAAGAAGAGCAGCCACAATTTAATACTATTTAAACAAATCTTTTTCCTCTTAGATTTCCAGAATATCTGTTCCTCC